AACCTATAAATTCAATGCATACTAAATCAAAATTCTAGTTGTGCTGTCTTTAGAAACTCTAGCTCCAAAATATATAGAAAAGAATAAAAATCCACAAATAGCTAAGCCAACTTTGAAAATGGAAAAAGAATGGAAAACTTGCCTTACCAGAAATTTAACATCATTAGCCATTTGGGAAACATAAATTGAGACCACAGTGAATTATAGTGACAATTACCAAACGCTGGCGAGGATGCAAAGAAACTCAATCTCTCATACGTTGCTGGTGGGAATGTACAATGGTGCAGCCACTCTGGAAAACAGTTTGGCAAGTTCTTCAAAAGCTAAACGTACACTTACCATACCACCTAGCAATCACATTCCTAGGCATTTATCCCAGAGGATGTGAAAAATTATATCCACAAAAAAACCTGTACAAGAATGTCCATAGGCAGCTTTATTTGTAATAGCAAAAACCTGAAAACAGCCCCAATGTCCCAGTGAATGTTTAAACAAACTGTGGCACATACATACCATGGAATCCTACCCAAATTACACAACAATTTGGATGAGCCTCAAAAATTGTCTCACCCAACAATTCAGATGAGTCTCAATCTCAAAAAGTCACATGCTGTCTAATTCCATTTATACAGCACACTTGTAATGATCAAAGTATAGATGGAAAATTGACTAGTGAACAGGGGTTAGAGATAATAGAGGAAGGGAGACGGAACTGACTTGAAAGGGGTGGCACAAAGGAGGTCTTAGTAGTGATAGAGTAGTTCTGTATCTTGACTGCAGTGGTAGTTACAGGTATCTACCTACACAGGTGATAAAATGGCATAGAACTATATACAGGTATTGTACCAATGTCAGTTTCTTGGTTTTGCTATTTCACCATAGTTGTATAAAATGTAACAGTTGAGGGAAATTGGGTGAAGTTATATGAAATGTAACCATTGGGGAACCCAGACCTCTCTGTACTAGTTTTGCAACTTCTTTAATCTATAATTATTTCAACATAAAGCTAAAACAAAATAAATAGGAAAACTTACTCACGTAGGAAAAAATAACCATACAAAGCCACAGTACTAAAACAGCATGATAGTAGAGCAAGAGCAAACAAATAAGCCAAAGGAACAGAATGCAGTTTTCAGAGCTTCTATGAGAGGTTAATATACAGTAAGTGTGGCACCACTTATCTGTGGGAAAAGGAGAGAATGACACTAGGAAAACTGGCACACTATATGGAAAATAAACTGGATCTCTACCTTGTGACATGTAAAAAGACACTCTGGATGTATTCAATACCTATAAATTTAAAGGAAAACTATAAAGTTAGTAGTACATAAAATAGGTAACTTTGTGACACAGAATTGGGGAAAGACTTCTTAAACAAAACCCCCAAAACACAAACCATAGGCAAAAAAATTTTAATTTGATTATATCAAGTAGAAAATTTCTGTTCAATGAAGGACATCATAAAAAAAAGTTATAGACAAATGACAGAATAGGAACAGATACAATATTTAAAGGACTAGTATCTAGGAAATACAAGGAGCTTGTGAAGGTCAACGAGGCGTGAAACCTCAGAATAAAAATGGGTAAAGGAATAAACAATTTTACAAAAGGGAAAACCCAGAAAGATAAAATGCCCATGAAGAAAGGCTCAAACTCATGAGTAATAGTGAAATGAAATTTAAAATGAGATTTCACTTTGCATCCATTCGTCTGGAAAAAGCAGGGGGCTGGATAACACTAAGCATTGGTGGGGTTACAAGGATACAGAAACTTTCCCAAAACACCTACAGGTGTAGAGACCACAGCAGCTTGTTCTGGAACACAATCTGGCAATCCTTCAATAAAATATATGAAAACCCTATGATCCAGAAATCACATTGCTGGATATGTATCTCAAAGAAAGCATCACAGAGGTCTAAAAGGTATGTTTATCACAGTATTGCCTAAAGTGGTAGGAAAATGAACGTTACATGGGTATCCACAAATAGGACAGCTGGCATATAAACTGTAGTAGATGGAAATTCTGAAGTACTGTGTATCAGTTAGAAGCAATGGACAGCAACACAAATAGATCCTTAAATAGTAGAGAGTAGGGAGCGAAAAAACTTTAATGAGATCATGCATGATATCATCTCTATAAATTTAAAATTTGGGTGCCCAGGGGGACTTCCCTGGTGGCGCAGTGGTTGGGAGTCAGTCTGCCAGTGCAGGGGACACAGGTTCAGGCCCTGGTCCGGGACGGTCCCACATGCCGCAGAGCCACTAGGCCTGTGCGACAGAACTGCTGAGTCTGTGCTCTACAGGCTGCGAGCCACAACTACTGAGGCCCGCGCACATGGAGCCCACGCTTCACAGCAGGAAAGGCCACCGCAATGAGAAGCCCGCGCACCGCAATGAAGAGTAGCCCCCCCACCCCCCGCTCGCCGCGGCGGAGAGGGCCCCGGCGCAGCAACAAAGACCCAATGTAGCCAAAAATAAAATAAACAAATAATTAAATAAATGTAATATAAAATGTGGGCACCCAAAACAACACACATTTAATAACATACCAACAGAAGGATACACATCATACATGTCAGAATGGTTGTCTATGGGTTGGTGGGCAAGGGAAGGGAGTGCAAACTGGATATAAAAGACAATGAACGGAAAAAATCCGGAGATACACGTTGAACAGCCCAATGATGATGACTGAATTGAAAAAATTAACTCAATCCTCTGCATTTGAGGTACAAAACAAACTTTAAGGACTCACCTAACATAGAGGACACCACTAAGGCTAAATGTCACCCTACCTTCCGATGGCAAAGGCACAAAACCAGCTCGCTACCTTTAGAGTTTGCGATGCTAAGCCTGTCACACAGATAGACCACCTCGCTTCCTCTGCCTCAAAACATAGCTTATATCCAAATGAAAACCAAAGGATATATTGTAAGATCTCACTCAGTCCTTGAACCAGTCCGCGTTCCTGTTTCTTGCCTTTGGTGAAATGTCTTGGAGTTAGGGGCTACCTCCGAGGTTCAGTAACTCACTGAGTCCCACCCTAATCACGGAGCTGAGACCTGCAGAGCCCACACTCTCTTAGCTGAGCTGCCTCCGAGGTGGAGTACCCAGGGTGGACACTGGGGCAGAGGCAGCCATGATAGCTGCTAGAAGCTGGGGTGATGCTCTCCCCACTTTACTGAAAAGGCTGTGGGTAACATTTGCCAGTTGTCACTTAGTTATTATTCTGTGTTGGAATATGAACCTTAGTCCCAGGATCTGTGCTTTTTACCACTTCGCTATACTAAGAAGGCTCTGAACTTGAACCCAAGTGTAAATAAAGGTTGGTATTCCCCCCTATTAAAAAAAAAAAAGAAAGAAAAGGCTAACTATCTCAAAATTTAAGTTCCCACAGTGGTATTCAAACAAGGCAAAGCCCAGTCCCTTTGAGTTATCCAGTTATCAAGATCTTTTAAAATTTAGCTACAGGTGGCAATAAGAAAAAACAAAGTGTACACTCCGGTCTTGCTGTTAAGTAGGGTTTGAAGCATTTTTAAAATAAAGATAGACACTTAAATGAATTTCTCACAATAATCTCTGAAAATTAACAAGGCAGGTGTGGAATCTAAAATATGACACAAATGAACTTATCTACAAAGCAGATACAGACTCACAAACAGAGAGAATAGACTTGTGATTGCACAGAGGGAGGGTGGGGGGGAGGGATAGATTGGGAATTTGGGATTAGCAAATGCAAACTATTATATATATGTACAACTGAATCACTTTGCTGTACACCAGAAACTAACATAACATTATAAATCAACTGTACTTCAATTAAAAAAAAAATTTTTTTTCTGGTTGCACCGCACGGCATGCAGGACCTTAGTTCCCCGACCAGGGATCGAACCTGCGCCCCCTCCAGTGGAAACAGGGAGTCTTAACCATTGGACCACCAGGGAAGTCCCTTAATAAAATACATTTTTTTAAAAAAGGAAATTAACAAGGCATTTACTACGTATTTATACTGTTCTGCTTGCCCGATTTGAAATAATAAAGGCATTTCAACGCATTATTTTCACTTTTAAGCTGTCCTCCACCTCCATACTGTCACAAATTACTTATAAAGAAGTGTGTGTGTATATTTCAAAAACTCAATCAATTTCACTCATATAACAGGCAATTCTTGACATCCTGCCCATAAAGCCCTAAACAATAAACGTTGGAAAGAGTCACAGCTTGCCTTTTTTGGCTCCTGGCAAATGCTAATGCAAAAGCAAGCTGTAGCTCTCACTGAACCCTAAAATCAGCAGCCATCAACAATTCCAGTGCTGTCTGTGATGCAACTGTAGCTGCCATAGTTTCAAATTCTAGGACCTAAGAAACTTACATAGCAAGTGAATCAAAACATAAAACGCAATTTTTGAATCCAAGGCAGGGTATTGCTAACTCCAGACATATAGTTTCAGAACACTGGGACCCACTAGTAAGGGAGCAGGCATATAGCAGGAATCCTCTTAGACCAAGTCTTAGGGCAAAGGGATGAGAGCGGGCAGGTGTACTAACAGACGTCTCAGTACCTTAGGCAAGGGCAAACCAAAGAGTACCAGGAGAGGCTATGTGTACCCCAAAAGCAAGCACAGCATTTCCCAAAAGCACTGTTAAGAACCACCCACCCATCAACATTAAGCATCTCACCCCGTTTAGATTGCCACTGCGGGCAAGGCGGTCCCATCTCAAGACCAAAGCCAGTGTCACCAGTAGCAAATGTCACTCACTAGGCCAAGGAGTCCCAGAGACCCCTGGCAGGACCCACGCCCCAGGCACAGGCGCCTAGTCGTGGGCCTGAACCTGCAGGCGCCGCACAGACCAGAGCTTCCAGCAGCTGCGCTCTGACAGCTGGCACCGCCCCCAGTTGGAGCGGAGCTGTGACCCTTGAACCCCGGCCTCTGACCTTCACGTTGAGGGCACATTCCGCGCTGGGGTCCCCCCCGCCCCGGGGAAGCTCGAAAGCCCTTTACCTGTCACAGCTTCATCTTATGCCTCGATGTTTTCTGTCCCACCACCTGCAGGCGTCGTGGCAAAGAGGACAAGGCGAGGACGTATCCAGAGAGGAGGTGGGGTGGGCAAATCCTGGTGGGAAAACTTTGGACTGTAAACCCAGCCCAGCCTCCGTCTCTCCAGAGAGGCTGCAAGCTGCCGTTGCCACCGCCACCGCTACCGCCGCTGCAGTAAATCAGCTGACACCAGCCAACTGACGTGACTTTCCCGGCAACTGTCGCAAAAATGAGGGGGAGGGAAACTCCCCTCATTTCCCTACAAGCCTGGCCTAGGCCGGCTCGAAAAGAGCGGCCTGCGTTACCATGGAGACCAAACGGAGGCTACCATGTCAGCTGTGGGCAGGGAGTGTATGGCGGCCATTTTGGTTATGGGAAGGCTGGTCTAGGCTTTCTTCTCGCCTCGGAGTCCCATGCTGGGAGGACCAAGATGGAGGGATGGATGAAATGGCAAGTCTAGGTGTTTGTGTCCTGTGACCAGGATGTTGCAGATTTAGTCTTCTGCTCCCGAGACTCGGTCCAGACTCCTGGAAAGTGTTAGCTCTGGGACTTGGTTACTGTTTTCCTCTGACCCCGATCTTGGCTGTTGGCTCCGATGCACAGGGCCAGAGGAGGAACTCGGCTACTTAACTAGGGGAAGTCTGACCTTGTGCAACATTCCTGTACGGGGGAGAGAATGAATGTACACTCGTGTGGGCGGCAAAGAGTGGTGGACGTAAGTTCTGCATTCAGAGAGGCATGTATTCGGATCCCGGTTCCTCCACTGCACACTGTTAGTGTCATCTGGGGCATCTTGCTTTTTCTCTTTTTTCTCCTCAGTATCCCCACATACGAAATAGGCATAATAACCTCGTGGATGCCTAGAAGGTTAAACAAGCTCAATAGATGTTGATTACTTATTATGCTTGCTTATCTGCCTCCCAAATATTTGGTGAATGAGTGAATGAATGAATGGTAACCAAGGAAAAAACTCGTGCTATGCTGGTGACCAACAGTCAGTTGTGTTAAAAAGATAGACAATATATTCATTCCCTGGCTTTGTTTTTCCTTTGTAATCTCACTAATGGGTTTATAGGACAAGTAAGAATTCTATTGCAGTCCTCAGAAGTTACTGTGTGTATGAATCACCTGGGGAGCTTGTTGAAATGAAGTTTCTGATTCCGTAGGTCTGGAGCGGGGTCTGAGATTCTCCCATTCTAACAAGCTCCCAGGTAATGCCCATTCCTGCTGGTCCTTGGATCACACCTTGATTAGCAAAGTCCTCTTGGATGGGCCCTGAAGCAGCCAATTAAGGCATCAGAACAGAGAAACAACTCCTTCAGACTGGATCATTTCTTTGTTAATTTACCAAAAGACAGCTAAGTGTTGGTTTGGTCAAAAACCAACAAAAGGAATGTTTTATTATTCCTGCTGTATGCACAACGTAGAAATTGTGAGTTAAGTTTCATTCAAGGAACTTAGGACTATAGACCTGGAAATAGCCTCTCAGTAGCTCTGAGGGGACTGCTCCTAAGAGGTTGGGGAGTAGCCAGTTTATAAGAATGAAATTTTGGGTACTTCCCGGGCTGTCCAGTGGTTAGGACTCGGTGCTTTCACTGCAATGACCCGGGTTCAATCTCTGATCAGGGAACTAAGACTGCACAAGCCTAAGATCTCGCAAGCTACGCAGTGAGGGGGGCGGGGGGGAGGGGGGGGGGGGGGTGGCTGAGTGCACCTTATCTGGGGAATACATGGGTCAAGCATACATCTTCCTAAAAGATTATTGCTAATCACACACACACACACACACACACACACACACACAAATGTATCTCACGTTAATGATTTTAGTGCTTTTCTATGTATGGGAAGATGCAAGAATCTTCCTTAGAAATGCATCTTTATTATTTAGGGGCCATACATCCAAAGCACAGAATGTTCCATCCTATTTTTCTCCACTCTGAATTCCCCTCAGGTCAGTGGGTTATATTAACCCTTTATATAACTGGATGATGAGCAAGACTCTTCTTTTTTTTTTTTTTTTTTTTTTTCCGGTACGCGGGCCTCTCCCGTTGCGGAGCGCAGGCTCCGGACGCGCAGGCTCAGTGGCCATGGCCCACGGGCCCAGCCGCTCCGCAGCATGTGGGATCTTCCCGGACCAGGGCACGAACCCGTGTCCCCTGCATCGGCAGGCGGACTCTCAACCACTGCGCCACCAGGGAAGCCCCAAGACTCTTCTTTTTGTTTACATATTCCCTCCTTTTGGTCATAAAGTTGACCATGTTTTGGGAGGCATTTCATGACCAATTTGTCCCACAGCACTAGGAATGCTCATTCCTGGGTCAGGCAAGGATTTTGTTGAAAGGCTATTCAAATGCTATATCTGGATTAGGCCCTGTTAATAACCTAAAAATTCTCTGGATTATGTTTTTTACTAGTCTATTATGATCCAGGAATTGTTTCTCCCTTGTTGCTTTTTCCTATAACTAGAGTTGTACTATTATAGGTAATTTTGTATAGAGCTATATATGTGATCAATTGCCTCAAGACAATTAGCCATCATTTGTTTTGTCAGAGATCTGGTTACACATCAAGTAATGGAGCAACAAGGAACAACAATCTTATAAAATAGGATATAAGTAATATAGGTATTAACATTAATAAGGTCATAGTATAGCAGCGAGAGACACAAAACGTCTGAAAACAACAAAGAGAAAAAATTAAAACGCTTATTAGTATAACTAGTTGTAATCAGGATCGCAATAAGCCAACAAATCCAGGGGAGCCAGATAGAGAAGCCAAATTCTGGAAAGATCAGGTAGAGAGAAAAGGATAAACGTCTTATCTTCATTTCCAAAGGTATAATTTATCAACTTGCTGCTCATCATAGTTGGCATAAGAGGAAAGTTTTACTCTTATCTGGAAAAAAAATAATAAGAGCCAGTAATATTTAAGAGAAAAAGTCATAAAATTGTAAATTTTACTCATCAGTTCATTCAGTCGCATGTAATTAATTCTTGTTGATTTAGATCTTTTGTTAGTAGTTTCACAAGCCATCAGGTTTTCCATTACAGTTTTGTTATTTCTTACCCAGTTCAGTGGTATAATCTAAAAATTATCAGAAACCTATATGTGTCAAAAAGTCCTTTTTATGAATCTTCCTGAAGATCTTCAGTTTTGTAGATCATCAGAGTAAAACAACAACTGTCTATAAATGACAAAAGACTGAAAATGGCATGGTTAAAGATCTAATTACAATACAATTGACAGGGAAATTTGGTTATTTCTGTGACACACAATACATTAAGATAATAACTAGATTTATGATTGATAACATACCAGGACATATCCAAATTTTAGTAATTTCATATAATAACACTTATCCACACAATATAAACTAAGTAGATTTATCATCACTATTTGACAACGTGTCCTATATAATTTAACTTACCAAATATGCCTAATTATGTAGTGTCTCTCTTTGAGATGTTTCAGGAGCCCTCTGAAGCATCCCAAAGTGAGCTAGAGATCGAAAGAAATTCATTTAGAATTTGATTTGGGGAAGCTTGTCAAGTAGAATCATAGTTCACTGTGAAACAATACTTAATTCAGTTAACCAAAGTGACAATAAAAGATTTTAAAGGCAAAATACAGAAAGTTAACAGATCACTTAAAAGGCAAACAAACTGTTTTCAATATGTTATCAAAAAGCAGATCAATATTCTGAGAAATTTTTTTCTTTTTAACAAAGAGAGAAAATCAAATTCTAGTTTTGCACCACCTTACCTTTATTATTAAAATTTATTTACATACTTAAATTTATTCTACTCTTAGCCAGTCCTGACCACACATAGAATTCCTTTCGAAAGATTCCTTCTTTCTCCCAAACCTTTTACTATGTTTTATGTCTTTATTTGTCCGTCCCTTTTCCCCCCATTTAGAAATAACCAGATTTAAGACAAAATCACTTTCTTTTCCCTTAAAAAAATGCATTTTTATTCTTTATATCTTTTTTCCTTGCATCTGAAGATGTTTTCCTTATTAATTTAATTAATTAGACATTAGAGTTCTTAACCTTTAAAAACTTTAATTTGTAGTGAAAATTAAGAAATAAGTGATTATGAATTGTCTTTTACGTTCGCATTCTATAGATTGGCAAACTTACAATTACTATTTGTGATTTCTAAAAAAAATTTTTTATAGAAAATTTCTCAGTGCAGCACCAAACATACTTATTAATAGTCCTGGGACTTCCCTAGTGGTCCAGTGGTTAAGACTCCACCCTCCCAATGCAGGGGGCATGGGTTCAATCCTTGGTCAGGGAACTAAGGGCCCGCATGCCGCGCAGTGTGGCCATAAAACAAACAAACAAAAATAGTCCTGAATATCTTTAGTTTCTCTGTAAAAGGAAGCCTATGTTCAGTAATTAATGTTTCAGTATCTTATTTTACTTGGTAATCATCTATATATTTAATAAACTTCTGTCATTTAACTGAACTTAGCTAAACTTTAAGGTTTCAAGTTACCAAAAATCTGGAGAAGGTATTTTTAAGTAGACATACTGTTGACTGAAGAAAAAACAACCTAAAAGTTGCAAGTTAAATTTTATTTGGGGACCTTGTTGAGGACTCTAGCCCAGGGGAAAACCTCTCAAATAGCTCTGAGAAACTGCTCCAAAGAAGTAAGAAAAGAGCCAGGATATATAAGAGTCTTTTGCTAGAGGGAAAAAACACACACACACACACACACACACATAGTCAAACATCAAAAAATTACAGCTAATCACAAAAATAGGCACCTCAGGTTAATGATTTTAGTGCTTCTCTATCTATGGGAAGATGCAAGAATCTGGGCTCATTGAAATTATTCCTTAGATATGCATCTTAACTGTCTAGTGCCAGTATCCAAAGCAAATAATGCTTCTTGTCTTTCTCTATCCTGAATTCCCCTCAGGGTGCACCACTTCGGGGGGAGGGGTTCGAGGGGCTACAGTGGCTGATGACTTGAACCTTGTTTACTGGAATGGCAAGCCACATTCTTTATTTACTGGAATGGCAGGCAACATTCCCTGTACACAATGCCATAAAACAAAATTACTTTTAAAGAGTTCACCTAAAAGCTCTTACCCCATTTATATCTATTTAATTTACTTGTTCCCAACAATTATGTTTAGCTTATGCAT